TCTGCAAAGAGGATAACCAGGATTTAAAAATATGTGCTGGGTTGTGCTGGCACAGCACGTGGCAAAATAAAGCACAACTCTTTTATTTTAGAGCAGCAGGAAGGGGACACCTTTAATGGACAAGGGAGTCCAGTTAGTAACTTTAATAAGTATTTGCTGTTATTGTTGCTATGACACTGGTATCAGTTTACTGGGGCTGCCATAACAAAGTACCACAGACTACATGGCTTAAATAATATAATTTTGCTTTTCACAGTTTCGAAGACTAGGCATCCAAGATCAAGGTGTCAATAGGGTTGATTCCCGTAAAGGTCCATGAGAGAAGGATGTGTTCCAAGCCTTTCTCCTTGGCTTGAAGATGACCATCTTTCTCTGTCTTTTCATCTGTCTTTTCTTCTGTATGCATTGGTGTCCAAATTCCCTCTTCTTATAAAGACACCAGTCATATTGGATTTGCGCTCACTCTTGAAGACCCTATTTTCAAACAGGTCACATTTTGTGGTACTAGAGTTTAGGACTCCAGCGTGTGAATCTTTGGAGGACATAATTCAGCCTATAACGGTGCCTAAGCAAGGTTTTTGGTGAAATTCACTTTCGGGGTAAATTTTGTTCTTACAAAGTTGCCTGTTTTTTCCTTTTTTGAGTAATCAATGTAGATTTCTGCCTTTCTCATATTATCTTCTACTTATAAACTATTTTAAAAAATCTAAATAAGTATCTTGGAAGCTGTGTAGATGCTGAGCTGGGTGTGGTTTTGGCATCTGTAGTCCCAGTTAGTTACTTAGGAGGCTGAGGTGGGAGGGTCTCTTGAGCCCAGGAGTCCAGGAACAGACTGGGCAACATCCTGAGAGCTTATCTCTTAAAAAGAAAATAGAAACATTCTATGGATGCTGAATAGAATGGATTCAATGGTACCTTTCCCAAAGGAGAAAAATCCATGAAATTGTAGGTCAAATTGTAACCTAATGCCTACATTTAGGGACAGAATCATTATAATACATTAAAATATTTTTTGTTGGACCCAGTTTTATTAGTTATTATTGACAACCATAAGTAATCACTTTTTCAAAGAATTATTATTAAGAAATGCTACGTCACACCAGTCACTAAATGTTGGTGGCCTGCATGATTCATTACTTCTCTGTGTGGGCAGGAACTGGTCAGGTCTGGTGAGTACTAGGGTACTCCTGGGGTTTGACTTGTCCACAGATTAGCCACTCAGGCTGTGTGTTAGGTAAGAGTTTTTGAGTGGAAATATCAGAAATCAACTCCAGATAGCTGAGGCAGTAAAAGGACTATATTGGGAGGATACTAAGAAATCTCACTGAACTCCAGGAATCACTAACTTCTCAGGCCCTCAGGAGACTGGGGACCAGGGCAGGAGTTTTGGGAATTTGCCGGGTCTCTTCCATGGGTCCCTTCTGCTCCACTCTCTGTCTTTCTCTCCTGCTCTGTGCTTCTATGGATGGTAATGATGGACATTATCAACTATAGCAATGGGCTCCTGTGCCCTTTGACTTCTGGTTGCGTTTGGGCAATGATGTATTTTGTCAGGAGATCGGAGGAAGAAAGGGGAGTGAGGCCAATAGTTCATCTCCTATCTTGGCTCCTACCTTGGGTAATGCCTTGGGCTAGTCAAGTCCCTTGGCCAGAAGTCACAGGTTGTCTGCAGGTGGCCTTCTGGGCATGACTTTCTCCTTCTAAGCTCCAGTAACCACTCCTGTGTTTTATCCTTTGGCCCTAGATGTGGTTACAGCTCTGTTTTTACCAACCGCAGGGTACGGTACTATCCCTTGTGGTTCTCTACACCTTGACTAAGTTCTATGCTGGGCTATGTTGGAGCTTGAGGCAAAAGGAAGTATCAGTGCTATGGTTTGAATCAGTGTCCCTACCCAAATCTCATGTTCAGTTGTAATCCCCAGTGTTGGAGGTGAGGCCTGGTGGGGGTGATTAGATCATGGGGGCTGAGTTCTCATGAATGGGTTAGCACCATCCCCTCAGTGCTGTTCCTGGAACAGTGAGTGGGTGAGTTATTGTGAGGTCTGGTTGTTTAAAAGTGTCACATTTCCCCTCTTTCCTCTTCCTGCACTGGTCCTGGAAAGTGCATCGCTCTCCCTTGACCTTCTGCCATGATTGAAAGTTTTCTGGGTGGGCGCGGTGGCTCATGCCTGTAATCCCAACACTTTGGGAGGCCGAGGCAGGTGGATCCCAAAGTCAGGAGTTTGAGACCAGCCTGACCACCATGGTGAAACCTTGTCTCTACTAAAAATACAAAAATTAGTCAGGTGTGGTGGCACGTGCCTTTAATCCCAGCTACTCTGGAGGCTGAGGCAGGAGGTTGCTTGAACCCGAGAGGTGGAGGTTGCAGTGAGCTGAGATCGCACCACTGCACTCCAGCCTGGCGACAGAGTTCCTGAGGCCATCCCAGAAGTAGAGCAGAGGCCAGCCTCGTGTTTCCTGTACAACCCATGGAACCATGAGCCAATTCAACCTCTTTTCTTTATAAATGATCCAGTCTCAAGTATTTCTTTATAGCAATGCAAGAATGGACAAATACAGTCAACAATAATAATCCTTTGTTTAATATGTTGATATTTTGTTCATCATAGATTTTTTTTAACAGTAATTTTAACTTCTAAAAATTATTGCATTGAAATATTATGTATCTTGATCACTAAAATTTTTGGTGTCCTCTTAAAATTTTTGACCTTGAGGCAATTGCCTCACTTTACTGTAGTCCCAAACTGGCATTTGACTTTTGTAAATTGTCCCTTTAAAAAACCATCCTCTCCTGTGAGCTGTGAGCACACCACTGCACTCCAGGCTTGGCAGCAAAGCGGGACCTCATCTCTTAAAAAAAAAACCAAAACAAACAAACAAACAAACAAAAAACCCTTGTCTCTGAGCAAGCAATTTGTTTCCTGATAGGACTCTGTTTGATTTAAATGCCTTTTCTCAAAAGCATAGATTGTAACTCATCAGCCCTTAGACAATATTTTATCAAAGAACATAATTTATTTGGCCTGTACAGCTTTGCAATTTAGTTGTTCACTTGTAAAAGTCAGAAGACCTTCATATAAAAATCTAGATTTCTGGTTTCTCTTGAAAAAAAAAAAAAAGGCAGACAATGTGGCAACAACAGATTCCTTTCCTGCATGGCAACAATTGGCAGGAGCTGAGTAGCAGCTTCTCCTTTGGCCTGAGCACGTCTCTCCAGTTGGACATAGTCCCCACCACTCCTTATTACCTCCCCACAACACTGAGGCTTACTGTTAGTCAATATTTTTTTTTAATCACAGTGGTGCTGTTTTTTTAAATTATGCCTAGCCTGCTTGCCTAGCTGATTCCTATAGGCTGCGGAGTTTGAGACACTTGCTATCGTTCTTTGCTGTTTTTAGGACTCCACTTCCAACTTCTGCAACTTCTAGCTCAAGTTCTGCCTTCCCAGGATGTGAATCAGACTGGCTCAACTTGAGGCAGATTTCATTTCAGCACCAACCAACAAGCCCAGGGGTCAGGATCTTGTGTGAGCACCTGCTAGGGGCCCACCCTTGATAGTGGAGAGTGGGGATTTCCAGAGAAGAGGAATGTATCTGTAGGAAGTAGTAGAGGGACCTACCACACTGTGGTGCTGGCTCTTGAACCAAAGTGTAATAGTGTATGCATTGGATATTTTACTTAATCTTGAATCATTCAGAGTAAATCTGATAATGTTCCATTCAGCAGATTCTGCAGACTAAATGCTTCTGAGTGCAAAAATGATAAATAAGTGCAATTTAAAATTTATTGTTTTTGTAAGCAACATCTGTGAGAAGGGAGTAGGGATATATTCACAAGCCACAGTCTGGTCCTCAAAAAGTCCACGTAAGACAGATCTATTTTGGTCTAGTTTGAGGCTGATGGTCTAACGTGGCTCTCGCACATCTGACATACCCAGGCTAAAGATGGTCAGTGTGTGGACCCATGAACCTATCTCTTGCCTGGGTCATTGCAGACATTCCTAATATGCTGCAGAACTCCTTACTAATAACCTTCCGGATCCTTCTCAACACAGTTTTCCAGTCCACCAGCACCGAGCAGGTGGCACATGAAATGAAATGCATTTGCCACCCTTGCTTCTGGGGTGACTTATCATGGAGCTTCCTTGAGCTACTGGAGCCAGTGTTTTATTGCATGTATGAAAACTGGCATGAAGACTGCTCTCCTGAGCAGATTACAAGCAGCTCCCCCTTGAGTCCTCAAGGTAACTCCCCCATCTGTGGTCTTGTTACAAACCCAAGGAGCCTGCTTTATGCCCTTTCCCCTGAAAAGCCTCGACTGGACACAGGATGACTTCTTGTTTAGTTCTAAGGCAGGAAGTGATTCTCTTGGGCCGCAGTTGGGAAGGCCTGCGAACAACCACATGCCTCTGGAGTCAGACAGCCCCTAAGGGGATTTTTCAGAGGGTCCAGAAAGCATTTATTCCTGAGTCCTGAGCAGGAGCCAGCCAAGGAAAATACATCGGCAAAGGCTGCTTTCTTCATTCCCAGCTCCCCAGCCCTCCATCCACGGCAGTGCAGCGGCCGACTGACCTGGCAGGCTTCCAGACACAAATACTGCAAAACTGGTTATAAAGCCAAACCTGATCTCTTTATTCCTTCCCTCCTCCCCACTCCCTGCTTCCTGATAGTTTAGTAAATAATCAAATTTAGATGCATTGTGTTTGAATGAGAAACCTCAGAATTAAACAATTAAACGTTTGTTCCCCCTTAGGACTTTCATGTGGGAAAATGTCCTATTATTTAGGGGCCACCTCTTGGCTTCATCGATTCCCTCTCGAGTGGGCTGCTCCATACTGTCTGCTTTGAGAAAGGCCTTGGAACAGACATGAGGAGAGCCAAGCTGCTGCTATGAGGCTGGGTGCCCCGTGCGAGCCCCTGGCCTCTCCAGCACTCAGGCATCTCATCTGTAAATGTAGGAGTGAGGACTGGTGGTGACTGAGTTCCCTTTTAGCTCTCCTATGTATCATTCTAATCTCTGACCTGCTCAATCACTTAAAAGTAAGAATTAACAATACTGAGACTTACTGTGTGCTTGGAAGGGCACTAAGAGTTTTACATATGTTCTTTCACGTAGCTCTTACAAAAAGAAAATGAGGCAGGATCCTTCTACTTCAGGTAGTATTTGGTGCAGCTGCTTACACAGAATTCCCTGAACAATAGTGGCTTAGGTAAGAGAGAAGTTTCTCCCCCCTTCCCCACTGGGGGCTTTCAAGTAAAAAAAGAAATAGAAGTTTTTCTCCTATGTGAAAAACAAAACATCTGGAGGTGGGCCAGGCCGCTGTTGTTTTGATGGCTCCACAATGTCATTAAGACGTCTATCTTTCTCCTTCACCATCCTTGGCATGGAACGTCAAGGTTACTTCTTGGTCCAAGATAGCAGCAGTAGCTCCGGTCGTCACATCTCTGTTTCAGGTAGCAGAAAGCAGGAAGGGAGCCATCTTCTTTTATTCCTAGAAATCCCAACAATACTTCTGCTTACATTTCATTGGTCAGGACTCACATGTGTTGCATTCATATCTAGCTGCAAAGAGAGGCTGGGAAATGCAGTCTTACTGTTTCCCAGACACAATGGAACACAGGTAAATTTTTGAGTTCTGTCATAAGGCAAAGAAATGAGAGTAGATATTAGAGTAGATACCACCAGTTTCTTCACATTACCTTTGACCGGTGAGGAAGCAGGATACACAGTGGTTAAACAACCAGCCTTTTACTTTTATTTTTAATTTATTTTTTATTTCAATAGCTTTTGGGGAACTGGTGGGTTTTGGTTACATGGATAAGTTCTTTAGTGGTGATTTCAGAGATTTTGGTGCACCCAGGCAGTGTACACTGCACCCAATGTGTAGTCTTGTGTCCCTCACTCCTCCCATCCGCCGAGTCCCCAGAATTCATTTTATCATTCTTTTGCCTTTGCATCCTCATAGCTTATCTCCCGCTTAGAAGGGAGGACATACGATGTTTGGTTTACCATTCCTGAGCTACTTCACTTAGAATAATGTTCTCCAGCTCCGTCCAGTTTGCTGCAAATGCCATGATTTTGTTCTGTTTTATGGCTGAGTAGTGTTCTGTAGTGTATTATAACACATCGTCTTTATCCACTTGATGACAACCAGCCTTTTAGAGATGTGTGCTTGCTTGGTGACTGAGGCAGGTGTGGACACGGGAAGTCTGCAGCCAGAGCCTGTGCTCTTACGTGCTGAGCCATTTGTCCTCCCTGGCGTTCCCTTGCTGCTGCTTTTTCCTTTTTATCAGAAGCTTCATGCAGTCTCCCTGGCTCTAAATTTAGTTTGCCCTCTGTATCAGGAAAGCCTTATTGAGGCTTCTTGTTCAACTATCTCCAAAATGCAGGAAAATTGGGCAGGCCACAGTGTGACTGCCCTTCAGCTGGGGTCCTCCTGTCACCTGTGGAAGGCATAGTGCATAGTACACCTGTGGAGTCTCTCCTGGCCCCCATGCTCAGTCCTCATTCCAGATATCCTTGGCTCCGCCCCAGTTCCACATCCCTTACTTCCATCCACCATGTTCCCAAACACTCTAGAGAGCTCTCAATTCTGGTCCTTGCCAAATCCTGGAATAAATTCTTGCTTCTGTTCTTGAGATGTTCTTATTTGAGAAGATGAAGAGATAATTTTTCTTACTGTAAAATTTTAGGGCAGAGTGTGGTGGCTCACACCTGTAATCCCAGCACTTAGGGAGCCTGGGGTGGGTGGATCATGAAGTCAGGAGATGGAGAACATCCTGGCTAGCATGGTGAAACCCCATGTCTACTAAAATACAAAAAATTAGCCAGGTGTGGTGGCATGCACCTGTAGTCCCAGCTACTGGGGAGGCTGAGGCAGGGGAGTCGCTTGAAGAAGTTGGGAGGCCGAGGTTGCAGTGAGTGAGATCACACCATTGCACTCCAGCCTGGATGACAAGAGCAAAACTCCATCTCAAAAAAAAAAAATTTTTTTAGGTGGCAGGGTTTTCCCCCCTTTTTGTAAGTTGGGGATGCTTCCCAAATTAAGTCCTTAAAATCACATTATGAAGGACTCCTAGTCAGGCTGGTTTGTCACTAAAGCCACTGCCAGGAGCTGTCTCTTCCCTGTTGCTTCCTGTCAACTCAGTGTGGTCTAAGAGCTAGGCATGCAGAATGTGTTAGCGGACCGGCAGCATCTGCATTACCTGGGAGTTATTAGAAATGTAGGATCTCTGCACCCCACACCCGCTCCTTGCCTCCACCTCCTCCTGGACCTACTAAATCAGAATCTGCAGTGTTAACAGGGTCCCCAGGTGATTCTTACATACATCACAGGCTTGCAAAACACTGACCCAGAACATTTGAGTACTTGGATTTCTAATGAGTAATTATGAACTGAAAAAGTTCATCTAAGAGTATGCTTCTTAAATTCATTGTTTGTTTTAGATGAAACTGAACTGAGGAAAAGAGAGGAAGTAAAAATTAGGTACTGAAGTTTAAAAATTCCTGTTTACAGTACAGTCCTCATGATCTATCCAGTGTATTATACGCATGTCAGCAGTTCATTGACTGACTGATGTTAGGATGGGGAACCAGACAAGAGTAGAGAGAAATTCTCATGCTTACATTTTATCTTAAGATTCCCTTGTAAATTTACCCAAGTCAGTGCACTTAAGTCTCCAAATGGCTTTTGCAAACCAGATAAGCTTTGCATTTGAGGTTCATGTAATTGGCCAGTTTTGCCAGGAGACTGCCAACAGCACAGTTATCTAAACAACTATTTTAGTTTAAGGATACAATCTAGATTTAAAAGCCAACATATGACTCACTTGAAGATTGTTAAAAGCTCAGAGGAGAAAGCTGTTGTACTCTCAGTCTCTCTATTTTTGTACCCTATCATGGTTCAGACACCTGAAAGAACAACAGAGCTATTTATTTCTGTGAGCCCAGGCTTGAATTGTAGACAGCCTCAAAGAATCTCACTTGACACTTTAAAAATACTTCCCCACCCCAGATTCTTCATGAACCGAGAGGCTCATGCAGAGGTTATATACTTAGGCAGGCAGCAGGATGTAGTGGTTAAAGCATGGGCTGTAGGATCTGACCATCTGGGTTTAAACCCAACCTTTATCAACTCTGCAAGGTGGGGAAAATAACCTTCTGTCTCTAGGGCTGTCATGATGATTGAGTGAATAAAGACTCAGCCAGATGGTGGCTGCCCTGTCATAAGTGCTATGGAAGTGTTTACTGTTACTACATCTCCTTTATAATACTTAAACAGCTGGCCCCCTCTTTTTATTTTGCACATGAGGACAGGGAGAAGAAGAGGTTCAAGGTCTGTCTGCTGCCCGGCCTGGCAGGGATCCTTCTGGCCAGCACCCCTGCTCTCCCAGGGCAGCTCTGTGCTGAGTCAGCCCCTGCGCAGCAGCTGTGTGGGAATTCTTTCCCTCCCACTCCATTTCACACAAATGTCCTTGGGTCCCCAGGTGGGGCCAACGACAAGAACAGAAGCTGAGGTTGATTGAGGTCCTGATTGCTTTTTCTACATCCACAACCCTCCTCCCCCTCTGCTTACCTGGAGCTAATTTCACCTTTTCACCCTGGGTGGGTTGTGTATGGTCTGGGATCTTGCTGGAAACCCAGCCGGTCTGTGACATCTGAGAGACAAGGATGGCAACCTCAGCTGTTATTAACAGCGGAACACTTCTAAGTGACTACACTCAAAGCTACTCCTTCCCCAGGGTTTTGATAATTCCTCCCACCAATTATAGCACTTTACTGAGATTAACTAATTAATCCTCACCATATACCCCAGAGACAAAATTAAAGATAATTCTTTCATAATCGTAAAGCACCTTTTATCTAAGGATTACTAACACTGATGCATTTGTCTCCCATGACAACATCGCAGGTTTCAGAGATGACAAGGAAAATCTTCATTACCATTTCAAGAACTGGGAACAAAGAAAAATCCCATTCCAGGACACAGGGAGGAAATGCTCATAGTTGAATAGAAACTGTTGAAGATTACCATGGGAATGCACCTGTGAACTTCCAGGGGGCTGTGCCCCCCATCAGGTCAGTTTTCTTTATGTCATTCACAATTTCCAGGGATCATGTCCATGATAAAGAACAAGAACTTTTTCACAGGCTACTGAAGCATATGTTTGACTTCCTAAAGAGCCAGCCGGGCACAATGGCTCACACATGTAATCCCAGCATTTTGGAAAGCTGAGGCGGGTGGATCACCTGAGGTCAGGGGTTCAAACTAGCCTGGCTAACATGGTTAAACCCCATCTCTACTAAAAATACAAACATTAGCCAGGGGTGGTGGCAGGTACCTGTAATCCCAGCTACTTGGGAGAATGATCCAGGAGAATCACTTGAACCTGGAAGGCGGAGGTTGTAGTGATCGGAGATCCTGCTGTTGCACTTTAGCCTGGGGGACGAGAGCAAGATGTTGTCTCAAAAAAACAAACAACAAAAAAAAAACCCTTCTATTTTCTACTCTCGCACTCATCTCCATCACGCTGGTTCCCTGTCGCCTCTATTTGTCAAAGTTCTGTTTGTGATCTGGATGAAATGGAGCCAAATGCTACGGGAAGGAGAGAACTTGAAAAAGACTTTATAAACTGAGAACCCGTAAAGAGTAGACGGGGAGAGGCAGGGTGGACGATGGGGGAGAGGAGGTGAGAGAAGTCCGTCTGCCAAAGTTCTGGAATTCGCATTTAGGGTAATCGAAGGGAATTGAGCCACTGTGCCCGGCTGGCTCTTTAGGAAGTCAAACATATGCTTCAGTAGCCTGAGGGGTCTGCACTCTGTGGCCCAATATTAGGTTTGCTATGATGTCTTTGTAATTCCCTTGGCCGCAGATTAATTTTACTCGACTTGACAGCATAGACAACTGCTGCTACACTGCAGCCGAGACTGGGAACTACATCACTGTGCATTATACCGTGGGTGCTTCATAAAGGTGGATCTCAAAAACACTCATGGAGGCACACATGGTCATTTTGGATACACTTCTCTCATTTTGGCCAAGCAGTTGCATAATGCATTTGTTGTAAGATTATTAGTGCTAACCACATGGCTGCGTGCTGATAGTGATTTGCTGGCTTCTCATCATGACTGACACCTGTGACTGGGGCCCAGTGCCCTGGGCCTGCAGGATCTGGGGCTGGTGACTTTGCTGTAGCCAACAAGCAGCTTGACAGGAGCGTTCTCCAGACCTCTTGGGAATAGGAGTGTCAGAAGGAGAAGCTCTTTCTCAACTCCGAATTCAAGAAAGAGAGGTGAACAAATAGGTAAAAATAAATTTGACACTTTCTCCGGATTTAAAATGGGCCCATAGGTGCATGATCTCATTTGAGCCTCATGACAAGCAGAGGCTGCACAGGGAATGAATACCTCTTATTTTGCCAGCCCAGTATCCCTTTCTTTTAGATACTGACTTTTCCCCCATTGTGTTCTGGTGGGGCTGCCAGTCACAGAACAGTCCTGCCTCTCCGATCCCTTCCCTCCCCTGCCCCCAACGTTGGGCATATGGTTCTGGCCAGGCCACTGAGTTCTTCTTGCTGGAAGTTTGAATCTTATGGAGAGATGCTCTGGGGGAGAAAGATGTTGGAGCTGTGTAAAGAGAATGCCCAGAGCCTGGCTGTTCAGCTCTTCCTTCCATTCTGTGAGTTATTTTAGTTTCCTTCCTGTAAAATTGCCTGAGTTCATGTGGACTCCTGTCTACCAAAGAAGCCCAAATTTTAAACACTCCTTAGTTTCAAATTGCCAGGAGATGAGCCCAGGTCCTCTTATCCCAAATCAGTGATTCTTGAGGATACTAGGTAAATGCAGAGTCGCATGGGAACTTTAAGGAAGGAAAGAGAGAGAACCAAGAAAAGAAGTTGAACAATGCTAGCACTGAAGCTTTTTTTTTTTTTTTTTTAAAGAAGCCAAGCATCTTTCCAATGCATAGTGTCAGGATTCATCCCTGGAAATGCACTTCATGTGTAATGGCAGTTGTATGAATTGGCATGCATCCGAGTTCACCCACAGCTGGCATGATCAGGCCAAGCCTCTTTAATTTTATTCTTGTTATGCTTTCGTAGGATATGTGTTTGCTGGTAGGCTGATTCTTAAGTGTATTTACCTATGGGTCTTTGTTTTCTAGACTCTACTGATTTGGCAAACAATCAAAAGTAGCTTGTACAGTTCAGATGGAGAGGGCAGGAGGTTGGTGGGAGTGGTTAGCAAAAATTTAGCAGCAGGTAAAATTTTGGCAGGTAAGAGAAATCTTTTCAGGTAGCATATATGCTAAAACATATGACTTCACTTTTTACTGCTTCATACCAAATACAATTCCAGATTCTGTGCTCATGAATTATATGTTAAAGGCACAAGGCTCTCTCTCCCTCTTGAGGCTGTTCTTGTACTTTCTGCAATGGCATGAAATTAAGTATGTAAGATTTCTTTTGTGAGCAGGATCTCTTTTAGGTAAAACTAAGAGGTCCCAAACTCCTGAACTGTTAGCCTGTTTAGATCATTTCCAGCCCAGGACTTACATCCTAAAGGAAGTAAGAGGTAATCTCAAGGCTTTTGGAGTTTCTCATACATGATACTTGAATGATTGAGTGAATGAATGAATGGGATAAAGAGTGAGAGGAAGCCTAGAAGCCTAGAATTCTGGAACTAAAAGGGAACCTGGTGGTCACCCAATACCACCCTGCACTACTTATCTATAGCTGCATAACAGATCACTTCAAATCTCAGTAGCTCAAAACAACAATAATCAATTACTATTTCTCTCATGGTTTCTCTGGGTCAGGAGTTCAGAGCAACTTGGCTGGATGGTCCTGGCTCAGGGGCTCTCATATGGTTGCAGTCAGATGTCAGCTGGGCTGCAGTCATCTGAAGGCTTGACTGGGGCTGAGGGCTCTGATTCCCAGGTGGCTCACTTATATAGCTTGGCCAGTTGGCATGGGCTGTTTGTTGATGGGAAGTTTCAGTTCCTCTCCATATGGGCCTCTTCACAGAGCTGTGAGTGTCCTCCAGCATGGCAGACAGCTTTCTACTGGGCAAGTGATGTAAGAGAACAAGGCAGAAGCTGCAATGTCTTTTATGACCCAGTGTTGGATGTCACATACTTAAGCAGCCTTCTCTTGTTCAGGCAGCCCTGGTATGATGCAGGAGGGAACTACACAGGTGCAAGTGTGAGGCCAGGATCACCAGCACTATCTTGGAGGCTAACTACCATAACCCCTTCCCTTTCTTTTTCTTCAAGTTTCATTGAGGTATAATTACCAAACAAAATTGTGTCTATTTAAGGTGTATAATGTGATGACTTGATAAGTATATATATTTTGAAATGATTACTACAGTCAAGTTAGTTAGCCCATATATCATTCACATAGTTATTATTCGTGTGTGTGTGTGTGTGTGTGTGGTGAAAACATTTAAGAGCAACTCTCTTAGCAAATTTCAAGTATTCGATACAATATATATATTTCACTGCACTTTAGGTTCTGGGGTACATGTGTAAAACATGCAGGATTGTTGCGTAGGTACATACATGGCAATGTGGTTTGCTGCCTCCATCCCCTCCATCACCTATATCTGGCATTTCTCCCCATGTTATCCCTCCCCAACCTCCCTACCCCCTTCTGTCCCTCCCCATTCCCCCCCCTACAGACCCTGGTGTGTGATGCTCCCCACCCTGTGTCCATGTGTTCTCATTGTTCCACACCTACCTATGAGTGAGAACATGTGGTGTTTGATTTTCTGCTCTTGTGTCTGTTTGTTGAGAATGATGGTTTCCAGATTCATCCATGTCCCTGCAAAGGACACAAACTCATCATTGTTTATGGCTGCATAATATTCCATGGTGTATATGTGCCACATTTTCCTTGTCCAGTCTATCAACAATGGGCATTTGGGTTGGTTCCAGGTCTTTGCCATTGTAAACAGTGTCACAGTGAACATATGTGTGCATGTGTCTTTATAATAGAAAGATTTATAATCCTTTGGATATATACCCAGTAATGGGATTGCTGGGTCAAATGGAATTTCTATTTCTAGGTCCTTGAGGAATCGCCACACTGTCTTCCACAATGGTTGAACTAATTTACACTCCTACCAACAGTGTAAAAGTGTTCCTATTTCTCCACATCCTCTCCAGCATCTATTGTCTCCAGATTTTTTAATGATTGCCATTGGCGTGAGATGGTATCTCAATGTGGTTTTGATTTATATTTCTCTAATGACCAGTGATGATGAGCATTTTTTCATATGTTTGTTGGCCTCATAAATGTCTTCTTTTGAAAAGTGTCTGTTCATATCTTTCACCCACTATTGAATGGGGTTGTTTGTTTTTTTCTTGTAAATCTGTTTTAGTTCTTTTAGATTCAGGATGTTAGCCCTTTGTCAAATGGGTAGATTGCAAAATTTTTTCCTCATTCTGTTGGTTGCCAGTTCACTCTAATGATTGTTTCTTTTGCTGGGCAGAAGCTCTGGAGTTTAATTAGATCTCATTTGTCTATTTTGGCTTTTGTTGCCAATGCTTTTGGTGTTTTAGTCATGAAGTCCTTGCCTATGACTATGTCCTGAATGGTTTTGCCTAGGTTTTCTTCTAGGGTTTTTATGGTGTTAGGTCTTATGTATGAGCCTTTAATCCATCTGGAGTTAATTTTACTGTGAGGTGTCAGGAAGGAGTCCAGTTTCTGCTTTCTGCACATGGCTAGCCAGTTTTCCCAACACCCTTTGTTAAACAGGGAATCCTTTCCCCGTTTCTTGTTTTTGTCAGGTTTGTCAAAGATCAGGTTGTAGATGTGTGGCGTCACCTCCGAGGCCTCTGTACTGTATCGTTGGTCTATATCTCTGTTTTGGTACCAGACCACATGGTTTTGATTACTGTAGCCTTGTAGTATAGTTTGAAGGCAGGTAGCGTGATGTCTCCAACTTTGTTCTTTTTGCTTAGAATTATCTTGGCTATATGGGCTCTCTTTTGGTTCCATATGAAGTTTAAGGTGATTTTTTTCCAGTTCTGTGATGAGGGTCACAGGTAGCTTGATGGGGATAGTGTTGAATCTGTAAATTACTTTGGGCAGTATGGCCATTTTCACAATGTTGATTCTTCCTAACCATGAGCATGGAATGTTTTTCCATCTGTGTTCTCTCTTATTTCCTTAAGCAGTGGTTTGTAGTTCTCCTTGAAGAGGTCCTTCACATCCTTTGTTAGTTGTATTCCTAGGTATTTTGTTCTCTTTGTAGCAATTGTGAATGGCAGTTTGTTCTTGATTTGGCTCCCTTTAAGTCTGTTATTGGTGTAGAGGAATGCTTGTGATTTTTGCACATTGATTTTATATCCTGAGACTTTGCTGAAGTCGCTTATCAGTTTCAGGAGATTTTGGGCTGAGATGATGGGGTCTTCTAGCTATACAATCATGTCATCTGCAAATAGAGACAATTTGACTTCCTCCTTTCCTAATTGAATACACTTTATTTCTTTTTCTTGCCTCATTGCTCTGGCTAGAATTTCCAATACTATGTTGAATAGGAGTGGTGAGAGAGGGCATCCTTATCTAGTGCCGGATTTCAAAGGGAATGCTTCCAGTTTTTGCCCATTTAGTATGATATTGGCTGTAGGTTTGTCATAAATAGTTTTTATTATTTTGAATTACCTTCCGTCAATACCTAGTTTATTGAGAGTTTTTAGTATAAAGGGCTGTTGAATTTTGTCGAAGGCCTTCTCTGCATCTGTTGAGATAATCGTGTTTTTTGTCTTTGGTTCTGTTTATGTAGTGGATTACATTTATACATTTGCATATGTTGAATCAGCCTTCCCTGCCTGGGATGAAGCCTGCTTGATCGTGATGGATAAGCTTTTTGATGTGCTGTTGCAATCAGTTTGCCAGTATTTTATTGAAGATCTTTGCGTCTATGTTCATCATGGATATTGGCTTGATGTTTTCTTTTCTTTTGAGTCTCTGCCAGGTTTTGGTATCAGGATGATGTTGGTATCATAAAATCGTTTTGGAAGGATTCCCTCTTTTTGGATTGTTTGGAATAGTTTCAGAAGGAGTGGTACCAGCTCCTCTTTGTATGTCTGATGTCTGGTAGAATTCAGCTGTGAACCAATCTGGACCTGGGCCTTTTTTGGTTGGTAGGCTATTAATTGCTGCGTCAATTTCAGCCCTTGTTATTGGTCTATTCAGGGTTTCACCTTCTTCCTGGTTTAGGCTTGGGAGGGTGCAAGTGTCTAGTAATTTATCAATTTCTTCCAGGTTGACTGGTTTATGTGCATAGATTTGTTTGATACAATATTATTAATTATAGTCACAATGCTATACATGAGGTCCTCAGAATATATTCATCTTATAACTGAGAGTTTGTACCCTTTGATCAACATCTCCCAATGCCCCCCACCTTCTGTCTATGAGTTCTCTGTGAGTTTGACATTTTTGGATTATACATATAAATGAGATCATACAGTATTTGTCTTTCTCTGACTTATTTCATGTAGCATAGTGCCTTCCAGACTCATCTTTATTGTTACAAATCATAGAATTTCTCCTTTTTATGGCAGAATAATGTTCCATCGTATAAGTATATCACATTTCCTTTATCCAAATCCTTTTTCTTAAAATAAGGCTTTAAAACGTATCATGAAATGTTTTAAGACAGATACAAAGGATAAAAGAAATAAAATAGATACATATATACCCACCACCCAGGTCAGTAAATAAAATATTATCAATTTGGTTGATCCCCCACCCCGACCATGTATCTGCCCTGATTGCATATCCCTCTTCCTTCTTCCCTTTATCCTTAGGAAACCATGTTCCAAATTTTGTGTTTAGGCTGGTTTCGTTCATGCTTCCATTACAAGTTTATGTATCTCTAAATACATGTGGTGTTATTTGGCATATTTTGAAACTTTCTGTATGGCATCATCCTGTATGATTCTTTTGCAACCTACTCTTTATTCAGAACTGTATCTGTGGGATCCATCTGTGCTAATCTGCATAGCTCTGATGTATTTTTTATTTATATTTTTATCTTTCAAAGACAAGGTCTTACTCCGTAGCCCAGGCTGGAGTGCAGCAGGGCAATCATAGCTCACTGCAGCCTCAAACTCCTGAGCTGAAGCAGTCTTCCTGTGTCAGCCTCCCAAGTATCTGGGACTACAAACTAACTCATTTATTTTACTGACTCTACAGGTGGTCCCCACCTTACAGTGGTTTGACTTTGGATTTTTTACATTAGGATGGTATGAAGGAAATATACATTCAGTATGTTCCTTGACTTACGATGAAGTTACATCCAGATACACCCATTATAAATTGAGACTATCGTAAATTGAAAATGCACTCTTGACTTATGATATTTTCAGCCCAATAATGGGTTTATCAAGATGTAACCCCATCATAAGTTGAGGAGCATCTGCATAGTCTTTCATTGTATGAACCTAGTATTTCAATGTTCATACAATGAAAGATATATGCAGATAGTATAGTGAACATATACAGTATATATGATATAGTATATATAAAATAGTATGTATACTGTCATATATACTATATATACATACTATGCAGATAGTATAGTATTTCCATTCACTTTATCAAGATCACACATCTGGCTAGTGAATTATAGACTGTATGGAGAGCTAGCATTTATAATATTCTTCCCCAAAGCCTTAGAAAGCAGAAATTATCATTAGTATTTGATTTCAGAAGGAAACCAATGTCATACTGCCAAGGTGAGCAGGTCCTCTCCATGCCCTGGCTTCTCCTGTTGTGCCCTTTTACTGGGTGACCATGCCATGGAAAGAGAATGGAACCTAATCAAATCTTATCAGTATTTATTAAGCATCTCCCATATGCAAAGCGCTGTGGCAAGTGAGTAACTCACAGGGACCCAGTCACTGATCCAGGGACTTACAATCTGGTCAGGAGTAAGGCAGAGCCATTGAGGAGTTTGAGAGAGGAAAAGGAGCTGTGGAGTTTGGGATGTGTGTGTGTGAGGACACGTTCTGCTCAGGGGATCAGGAAGGTCCTCGT